CAATCAAACACAAAAACCCAGAATTCTAAAATTTAGAATCCAATTAGTCAAGAGAGCTGAGGATGAATGTTTCTAGAAACTAATGGATTCTTTCCTCTATTTAGAACGTTACTTCGTTTGTTATTGTTTTCAATTCTTCACAACAACGGAAAGAAGAATTTTAAAAGGAAGAGAGAGAGAGAGATGGCGCGACGCCGAAGAGAGAGAACGAAGAATATATTTTTTTTCTTTTTTTTTAATGAAAAATCAGAACTGAATATCTAATCTAGGGTATAAAAGTAATTGTATGTTGAATAAGTGCCTTTGTAGCAACAAGTGTCTCAACTTGTAAACTGTTGACACTAAAGTGTGTATGACTGTAATTGTTCCTATTGAATTTGACTACCATTTATTAATTAGATCCGGTTGGAAAATCGTCCCACAATGAACATGACTTTGTCCCAATATAACTTTCTCATATTTTGCCATTTTTTACCTACATTACCCTTAAAAAAACAAAAATACATTGAAATAAATGGTTTTTAAAATTTCTAAAAATACTATAATTACAAAAACGTAAAAGGTATGCATTTTTATGTATTCAAATATTTTTAAAGTTCACAAAAAAGCTAAAAAATAATTTTATAATTTCCTTCTACGCCTTCCAGAATGTATGTTCTACGACTAGTAGCTCTACGAACCCGTAGATTGTCGGTTCTGTCAATATAATTAGTGTCTACCGGGCTGTAGAAATATGTTCTACTGAATGGTCTGTCATCTACGTCTACGCAAAATATTTCTTCCACCGTTTGCAATATCATCTACCGTATATAGAATACACATTCTACCGCTCTATCGATTATCTACCATATCCAGAACGTAGATTCTACCATTTTGTCTATATCTACCGAAAGTAGAATATATTTTCTGCCAAGTTAGTTTTCAAATTTTTTAAATCTAGGATCTTAAATGATGTGTATATTCTATTTTCCTTAATCGGTTTTTGAAAGATATTGCATATCACGA